CAAAGGTTTCAAAAGTCTCAAAGATAGCAAGGGGCATGTTTGAGCTCCAAGTCCACCGGCTTCTCAAACAAAACACTCTAATATGCGAAGAGATCAACGATTGAGATAGACGAGAATTCTAAAAAATACCGTCACTTCAGCTCCCCCAAAACTCCGAAAGAAGTAAAAGAACGGGATTTCCTAATGACTGCGATGAACATAATTCAAAACGAAGAAGGTTCTGCACCTCACGGTGTGTTTGCTCCGGACTCATCTATCCTCCTTAAAAGATTTCTGCATAATCTTTTAAGGTGTAAGAAACACTCCTTGATATGCGTCAAATCACTCCATCTGAAGTTTTACGCCAGTAAGGGGAAGATCAAACGAAATTATCAAAACACGAAAATTGGCTAACGAAAAAAAACTTCAAGCACAATTCAAAATTGTTTATCATACAAAACAACAAGGGTTTGCAAAAGTCTATAAGAAGACAAGAATTTGATAAGGGAACAATGTTGCCTCGCATCCACGAGTCCACGATTCACCGCCTCCTTCATCGGTTGAAGTTGTTCCCGGTAAGTCCTGCTGTTTGTCCTGTTTTTGTTGCTATTTTCGTTGGTATTTTGCGTGCTTTTTTCCCCATTTTAGGTCGTTCTTAGTTTTTTTTCCGGTCCGTCTTGTCGTTTCTTGTGTTTTTATCTTTATTTTGGTATGTTTAGTATTTTCTGTGTTTTCTTTCCTATTTTCTTTGTGTTTTCGTGTTTTTTCGGTGGTGCGATTCCAGGTTTTAGGTTGATCGGATTGGTGAGCATTCAGATGAGAGGAGAAGTGTGTTGTTTGAGCATTGTTGTGTGGGACCCAAACATGCAAGGATCGAGTTTCCAGCTCAGGCAGTACCCGAGCGACGCTAGCCGAGCACGCGAGTCGAAGAAAAAGCCACATTTTTCGACTGCCAGGCCTTAGCGCCGCTAAGGTCATTGGGGATAGCGGCGTTTTGAAGCGTAACGGGGCCAGACTGCAGCAGCTAAGGAGGGTTAGCACAGCTAAGGTCTGTTTTGTAACAGTCGTGATTTTTGTGGATTTTGAATTTGGGGACTTATTAGATCGAGCCTAGGGCATTTTTTCAGCATTCCAGACTTGGTATTTTCAAGTTTTTCTCTCTAGAAACATACTTTTTCTCTTGTCTTTCATTTTGGATTGGATTGGGAGAGTAAAAACTCCTTATCTAGCTCTTGGATTCAAGCTTGTTTATCGAATTCGACTTGGGGATTTTATCAATCGTAAGAATCTCTTTTAATTTAATTGTTAATTATGAATTCCTGGGTTGTGAATGCTTTTGTTGATTCTTCGACTATGAGTAGCTAAATCTTTATGTTAGGGATAGGGGATTGATGTTTTGATTTCGTTTGCGAATATCATGTTCGTGATTGTTCAATTTATGCGAGTTAACATTTTCAAAGGGTTTTTCAATTATCAGGCTTGAATATTGAGAATTGTTGGAGGGTGACACTTCAATTCCCAATTGTTTTCAATTGAGTTCGACATATTCTTGCATGATGTTGGGTATTCTTATTGACTAGTCGGCTAATCAGTCTCTAGTCTACTTTAATCGACTCTTAAAACCGAAAGGGGAGGAGTCGGTCGAAATAGGCTCGCATGAACTAGGCTTGTTCGTAACTGTATTGCCTAGGCGTTAAATGAATTGTTAATCTGTCGTTCAAGCTTGTTCTCTTGTTACGAAGAGTTATTGAGGATGAATACTTGAACGATAGGTTATTCAAATCACTTAACCGAACAATTACTTGCCCGATAATTGTATTTCGAACCAAAACGGATGTCTCCGACTCCCTAGCTCCTTAAATCCTATTTGTTCTTCGACTTTGCCTCGCTATATAGTTTGCTGTATTTGAATTTTTAGTAGTTAATAATCAAACCAATTATCTGAATTAGTACGTTTAGGATTTTTACTTCTCTTTCGTGTGATTGAATAAACGTGTATAATATTCCGGCTGACCTTCCTCGTGAGACACGACCCGGTGTTCGAATCTTTTGATTCTACTCCGGAAAAATATTTACAACACCTGTTGCTGCTAGGAAATCGCTCGTGGCTCAATGTGCTGAAGAGAGTTTTCACAAAAGAATAGGTCATCGCCGCCTTTGACTGGACTCTAATCACGCATCTAATGGTTCTATCGACAACGGTTACAGACTCCCAGATACCCAAACGACTGGGACTCCTTCCATCGTCTGCTCCCTTCATTTAAGCCTTCTCCTTTCGAGATGACATTACGAATGGTCCTCTCTTGAGGACAACAAGTCTTATAGCAAAAGCACTGCTCTAAACAGAATTTAACTCGATAACATTATATCGAATTTCCAAACAAACAATTTCTCAAGTCCGAATTTAACTCTATACCGCTAGAGTTCAAGTTCATACAACTAAGTTCACCACTCGTCTAGAGTTCAAAAATGTTATAGCAGGAGGATAAATTCCTAAGCCTCGATTTCACATCAATAATCAATTATTTCAAAATCATCTCAAATCAATTAGGTACGCATATCTGAGCTGGCGCGGCACGACGAGAGCGAGTGGTCATAACTTAAGGTCAAAGCAATAATCACATAATTCACATTAACCAGTCTACAGAAACGCAGATTGGCTCTGATACCAAACTGTAACGCCCAACTTTTATTTGACGAAAAACAGAATAAATTTTTCAAAATTTATTTCAAAATACTTGAGGCGCTACTCATTTCCAAAATTATTTTCCAACAATATCATAAATGAAACCCCCAAAGCGGGTTCCACAATCAGGTCAACACCCAAACCGAGTTCATCAAACATCAATCTTCCAACACTGGGTTTTTCAAATGCATAAATACTGGGGAGAACACTCCCTTTCATAATCAATGTTCAAAGTAAATAAAGCAGTAATAGCAATATTCAAAACAAGGCAGAAAAAATGACATTTAAACAGACCACCACTCGCGTCCCTCCACTGTGCCCGCAAATACTAACCTGCATCCATGAAGAGCAGGTGGAGGTGAGCACAATAGGAAAGTCGAGGTGTCCTCAGCTATGCAATAATTAATATTTTAATTCATAAAAATAAAGCAGGTATGGTCGCAGTATGAACACAAATCAATTAATATCTCATCTCCTATCCCAGAGTCAACCCTAATGTTCACACCTATATCGATAGACTACTGAACTGATACACGTATCGAATGCCAGGTCCTTGCATCGATGCCCAGCTAGCAGGAGTAAATCCACCCCGAATGCCAAAACTCACGCCTTGGCCTTACATACGAGGATCACAGCCAAGGCTCATGCCCTGACTGCCATACAGAAATAGAGAAGACTATCCGAAGGTACGTTCTATAGCTATAGGGATAACCGTTCGATGGTCAATATAGCTCACATCAAAGGCTACATGGTTCACATGCATACGTTGATCATACCACAAAAATAACAGTCAATTAAGGCATAACAATTCATAATTAAAACCCACCTAGTATTTTGAACTGAAACTGAGGGTCGTCACTTATGTGGAAACTCGAGGGCTCAACTCCTTAGAATGTACATAAATATAAGAGATACTCGAATAAATAACTAATCCTTAACTTGGTAGACTAATCCACTACTTAGAAGACATTTTCGGTTTAAGTCTTTGGTTAATTGATAGTTCGGCTGGCTTAACATACTCAGCTAAGACATTTGAGGCTCATACATACTTCATGGATCAAGAAACAAACCACTTAGTCATATAATCGTGCATTTCGATGGTGCGTGCCATTTTTCGGAACCAACCTAATGATTTTGTAAAATATCGTATGCGCAGCGATTTTCAAATGAACACATCTAGCAGCACATAAATCGTAATAAGATGAAATCAGTGGCATGTGATTCTTAAGACATAAATTTACAACTCTCATGTTGATCACGTAAGCCAACACTAGCTTTAAAACCAAGTTTAAGCATAAATCACTTAGGTCAAGAAATCTGCCAACGAAACTATTATCCATTTACAGCATTTCACTAAAACAACAATATCGCTTGTCATAAAACTCCAAATCATACAAACTCAAAACCTACAGAAACTACACTTGAAATCTACAAGTTTCAAGCAGAGCATTTTTACAAATAATCACGTTAAGGGCCTCATTTCATAGCATACATTTCAATCATATACACAACCACGATTTTTTTTAAAATCTCTGGGCATAACCCAACTTTGAAAAATCATATAAAATCAACCAAAACCCCAAATAACATGATTTTAACTCCCAGTGAAATCTTATAACATGTACTACAAGTTTCATGATGATCATATTTTCACATAACAACATTAAGATCGCCAAAAACAGCCAAACATCATGATCCACAATTCTGCCCGAAATTACAAAAACTGCTTGCAGGTACAACTTCAAAAATTTATAATAAATTCAATTCAACTCCAAATCACAAAATCCTAAAATTCACAGAAACCTAACTCAAATCACTATAAAATTCATGAAGAACACTTGACCAGAAAACAACTTTTAGGCCACGAAAAACTGAGCACGAACAGAGGCTATAACGTGAATTTTTAAATCCAATTTCAACCCAAATGACACACTCATGAACATAGCACCCAAAACATGTAAATCATATGTTAAGCAAGCCTCGATATCATAAATTTAGGACTTAAACATACGATACATTGAAAACACGTTGTCCGAGGTCCAACTCGGTCTTATTATACACGATAGAAAAAAAAATAGCATTTAATGATTCGCTTGAATTATAACGCATCTTTCTTGTCAACACATGATAATTCACAATAATACAAAACACGAACATAAATGAGACGGAGTTCGAGCTTAGGTACCGTTCTCGGGAATAACACACGACAACGAACAAAATGGAGGACAAGAAGGGCAGTTCGGGGGCTGGAAATACGTACTTCGGGCTCGACAACGACATTTGGCTCGCCCAATGGTACACGAGTGGTCTGCTGACTTGAACGGGACATTGAACTTCAGCAAAACAGCAGGAATACGGGCCCGACAGCAGAGGACGAAGGCAAGCAAGGCCTGAACAGGGATGTCACGTGATGCCGGAGAATGGAACCAGGGTCATTTGGAACTGAGGGCCTGTGGCTCGACGAGTGACGGCTTCTGCGGGTGCTGCTACTCTTCGAAGGTCGCCGGCTCGTGACCGACTGAAGGGAAATATGCCGACGAAGGGCTACTGATCAGGATTCGCGACCAGCCGCTGCTGAAGTGGGTCGTCAGCAAGGGTTTCACGACAAAGAGACTTGCCAT